TAGCCAAAATGTGAAAGATCTTGGGTTATTTATCGACTGTAACTTAAACTGGCAGGCCCAAGTAGCAAATGTTTCGAAAAAAGTTACTGGAGTGCTACGAGCTCTTTACCGCATGAAAAATTTCCTACCTATTAACATTAAGGCAATGCTAATGCAGACCCTAATATTTCCCATAATCGACTATGGTGATGTATGCTATCTCGACTTGAATGCAGATCTACTTAATAAACTTGACCGTCTTCTGAATAACTGCATTCGATTCGTTTACAATCTACGAAAGTATGATCATGTGTCTGAATACCGATCATTACTCAAATGGATGCCCATTCGGCAACGCAGGCAAATGCGAACTCTAACCACCCTTTTCTCATTACTAGATTCACATAATGCTCCTTCTTATCTTACTCCCCACTTTCAATACTTGTCCACAAGTCACACTAAAAATCTACGTTCTGCTTCTAACCGTTTGCTCATGTGTCCTTCTCATAGCTCTGATGTACTTCATTCTTCCTTCTTTATTAAATCTATTCTCCTATGGAACTCTCTTCCTTTAGACCTAAGAATGTCTACTAGTCGGTATGCGTTTAAAACTAAGTTACGCAGCTATCTTTTAGAGCAAGCAGATTCCTTTAATGGTTAATCGTGTATGTATGTATTTAATATATTATATTTTTATTTATGTATGTATGTATGTTTCTATGTACAATATTATATAGTATATATCTTAAAGTATATATATTAATTAGGTTGTCTAGTTTAGTATATTCTTATAATTGTGCACCTGACCACGTATTCTTCTCCACATTACCTTAAGGTTGACTGGCAGAAAATGCCGCAGGCATTAAGTCCGCCTATGTACATTTGTGCATAAAGTATAAATAAATAAATAAATAAATAAATATATATTATCCAGGAAAAATAAAGAGATAAAGAGATGAAAATGGGAGTAGATTTTTGTATTAAAACGTAACCGTTGTTTACTATCATGATATGAATTGATATCCAAATAAAGAGTTCCCTAGAAGCCACGCGGGCGAAGCCGCTGGTGAAAAGTTAGTTAGAGATATAATTGAAAATGTTGAGATATGAACATTTTCAATTATATCTCTAGTTGAGGTATATAGTTGAGGTATTTAATATCAGATGCCGCTGCAATATATTGGCTGAATTTATACAACATTCCCAATTTCGAAATAGTCTGATATTCGTTAGAATATATTAAGATCTATAATCGTGTAGTTATTTCAGGTTATATTGCGAAATTATACAAAACAGCAATAATGACCTCGAAGTCATTATATTCGTTAATACTCGTAACAAGGACGTTTTAGTTATGTATAATTTTATTTTTATAAGACGGTTTCGTAGCATTTAATTTCAACATATTTTAAGTGTTGAAATTTCGTCCAGTATCGATAGGTTATATCACATATTCGTGACATTTAATAGTTAACAATTAAAGATTGTAAAAGTTTGTACAAGATCTTAGAATCTATGTCGATGTTAAAAGAATTATCCTCCTGAGGTTCAAAGTAAAATAATATAACAAATTTACTGCAGTGACGGCCCAACGGCGGGCTGAAAATCTCTTTTTGAGAGCTCTAAAAGATAATAAAAACATTGGCCATAGTTTGGCAAGTCTTGGTCAGAAGTGACGTCAATTACGATGTTTAGATACTTTCAAAATTTACAATATATCACATCAATAATAGTGAACTACGTCATAGAAACGTCAGATTATAATAACGTTGCACTTTAGAAATAATTTGCACATGCCATAATTTCTCCACTCTGCCATTACGATTGACCTTAGTGTTGTCATGTTTGATAGTGAATGTAATATATTCTTTAAGTTTTTATTTTATTTTATTTGAACGTAAGATTTATGTTTATACAAAGCAACATCACATTAGATTACTCAACGAAAGTACTGAAACTGATTAAGTACTGAAACATATCGATGTACAATATCCATCTGCGTTACTTCAATATTTTTGTGCCTTTTACTTAAATATTTTCAAAATTATAGTAACATAAATGTTTGCTGTTGGAGATTATCGATATGATCCGTAGCCCTAATATTAGTATAACGCAATAATACCACTCCCTAGTTTACTAGTTAGAACACGAATGAGTGTGCGTAGTTTCATATTTAAATATTTTACGTGTTCAAAATTGCAACGCACTCTTGAACGTTTATTCGTGTGAAAATTTAAACTACCTTACAGTGTAAAGATCCTTGCAGAATTTGCAAACCACAACCATATGGTGTATTAACTTATAAACAACTATTTTCGTAATATACGAGTATTAAACACAGATGTTCTCCGTTTTCATCAATGAATTTCGTAATTGAATATAATAATACACTTAAAGCGACGTTTGAAACAAAATGAAACTATTTCATACATTTCTGAATCTGAGTGTTGCGGTGATGTGTAAAGAGAGTGCAGGGTCATTGGCTCATCCTCCTTTATCATCTACAAAGAAGGCCTGAGCCCCTGCAGAGGGGACGTAAAGGGGCTAACGATGATGATGATGATGATCGCAAAGACGACAACCGTCGAATCTACATAACTCGGTTGGGCAGCGGTCGGAAAATTCCAAAGTGTCATTTCGAGTACCGTAGTGTCTCTAAACAAAGATTTTTAGCCGGTGATGTCTTATAACACTAAGAAGTGGTTGCTAAGGAGGAGGCTCATAAATAGGCCCAAAGCCACATAGAGAGTAATGGAGAGGGCTTTGATTGGAGTCACTCTGCGAGATCAGAAATGAGGAGATTCGTTGACGAACCAAAGTAAGTAGGTAATCGATATAGCCCAAAGAATAGGAAATCTGAAGTAGCAATGGGCCGAACACAAAGCTTATAGGACTTTACTGTCCCAATGAATATCTGGGTTGTTGAGGCAGTAAAGTCCTCGAGTGGCAACTATGGACTAGAAAACGGAGTGTAAGACGGCCTCCCTTAAGATGATGGATGATGTTGTAGACTACGAACTTTGTTTTTTTGAGATGAAAGTGAGAACAAAAGTTTTATTTTTGTTGCATTGAAAGTGCAAATAATGATGACTATTTTTTTGTTACGTTGAATGCTTTGAGATTAATGACAATTATTTTAGTTTTCAGTTTTGATGTGCATTCAACTCTTTTTAGAATGGAAAAGATAATTAAGTATTTAAAAAAATATTTACTGTTATTTTTATAACTTATTCGGATTTCTATGATAAAATATATGTTAGAAATGAAAAGATAGAGAAAGATATAGGTAATTTTCCAAGGCTTTTTCTTATTATTTACAAGCAAAATACCGATTACAGAACAAAACAATACCGTAAAAACTATTTATATTCTAGATATAAAAAAACTTTAAAAAACAATAAAAGTGCCTCAACTATGCACTTATCACAGTTAAGTGCAGTTAAGTGTCGATTAGTTGGTTAATTACATGTATATCTGTTGTAGTATGATAAATAATTACAGCATTTGATGTGGTAGTTGATGTTGTAGTCTTCGAAGTCGGCATCAAAATAATTTTATCCTTATATCGCGGATAATTATTGTGTTTCGTATCCTTGACAGTCCTCCACTGCTGGGGTTCAGGCCATGGAGTTAAGAAATCGAATCAAATCGAATGGGCCTCAACACACCAAGCGGACCCTTGTTAAAAAACGGGGTGTTAACTAATGCAGATGCATCCAGGACCAACGGCTTAACGTACCTTCCGAAACACGGAGGAGCTCGGGAAAAGAATTTTTGGTCATCCATCCTATAATCGGCCATTGGAAAATTGGTTACCAACCGTATCACAGAGTGAGCGCGCTAACCACCGCGCTATCGAGCTCCTTACGACATATTCATTATCCCTTTATTAACCTTAATGATTTTTCCTTACTTCACTCACTCATCTCTCTCCTCCATCACTTCAATTTAATCTCAAAAAAAAACAGCTTTGAGTCATTGATCTAGACATATTAATATCATTAGCTGTGAGTATTCTATTTGATTAATTTCGCAATCACAGTGCCATACTGAAAAATGCTTAAAAAATCCACTTGGTCCCTGGCACTGTAAGATGGGACACGATCCTACGATCTTTCGCACTGAGCTACCCAGTCAGGGCTGACACATTTTTTAAATACTTGTTACTTTTCGCTACTACAGAGCGTATTTTCATTAATGTTCAGACAGTCACTGTGTTAAACTTTGCATACTAATATTATACATGCGAAATTAGGTCTGTGTATATGCCTGTTACACGCTCTTGTCTAACCCACTAAACAGAGTTGACTTGAAGACATAGGATATATGTAGGTTGCTTTTTATTGCGATAAAAGAGTTGACATGGGGAATTGAAGTTTGTATGGAAGTCGTCATTGTCAAAGATAAAATCATGAAACATTAGATTCAGGTATTTTACACGATTTCATGAATAAATATATATTTGTGTTAGCGTTTTTAGAAATGCTGCCCAAAGCAACTATACCAAGCGGACGAAGTCGCGGACATAGCTAGTGAGAGGAGAAAGAATGTCGAAAAAGTAATGCGCTCAAAGACAATTACCTTTTTGTTTTTGTTACTACTATGTTATTGTTTTGGGTCAATTGCAATTTACTTTTTTCTTCAACAACTTTGAGAAGATTTACGAAAACCAGTCAATGATAGTGTAGAGGAGAGAAGTGAATGCACACTACTATTTTTCTTTTGAAATACGGAACACGAAAATGTGGCAGAATACCAATCACTTATTGACGCCCTTCTAATAACTAGTCCGCCATATTGAACTTAGAATCTTTTCACAAAGAATTAAATAAGTAGCCATCTAGGGATATCTGCCATATTAAATTTAAAACAATGTAATTTAGCATGTGCTGTCGTGTAAAATAAACCATATTCATGATTTTAGCTAAATCGGTAGCATTTAACCGCTTTTCATAATCCAGTTGCAAGAGTTGATGATATACACTAGAAATTAAATAGAAGCTTCTAAAATCACCACTTACTCTTCATAAACTCTCTGTTGTACGTCTGGATATTTGGCCAGCATCTTCAAGGTGTAACATATAGCAACAGCGGAAGTGTCCGTTCCAGCTATGATAAGGGTAGTCACTTCTTCTCTCAATTCCCTATCCGTATAACCTTTGTCTGATTTGCTCGAAAGATTAATAAGGAGATCGAGAAAAGATTTTCTCTTGTAATCGTCGAGATCTGAAACGCACAGAATATGATAAGAAATATATTTTATTAATCGTATTATTGTTTTGATGATACCCGATCAATCTAGTTAGCGCGTTTGATCTGCAATTGCAGAAGTTAAGATACTTTAGCAAAGAAAAATATTTTTGTTCGTCGGATGGAAAAGTTATATTTGGATGGAAACAAAATTTATTATTAACTTGCTGATTCCAAGGTGTGGCCATCCTGAGATCCCGAATTCGATTCCCAGTCGAGGTAATGAATGAAAAACACTTCTATATTGTACGGGTCTGGGTACTGTCGTTTCCTTCCTTGGTTTCGGATTCCCATAAGAAAAATGCGATAAATAACTTCATTTTGGATCTGTTTATTATTATTAATTATCCTCAGTGCATTATCCTTAGCGCGTGAAGCCTCCTTGACTGCATCTGTAGGAGCTTAGCAGTTAGCACCCACAAATTCGCACTGCACCCTCGTGGTAGTATAACTCCCTATGTGAATCTATCCAGATTAGTACAATGTGTCAGAAACTTGAAGATATTGTTCTAGCTTATTTTTTTTGCTTTGAAAATATACAATAACTTTTATTTAGACACTAACCGGCACAATCAAGGCAATCAAATCTATATAAATAAGCAATTATTGTTCTGGTGGTAAAGTTGAAATATCATTAGAATTATTATATTTAATTCAGAATATAAATATAATTATTCTACTTTATTAAAAATTGAGTAATTACTAGTATTTATTTTGTGTTAATGATTTATTTAATTATTTAAATATGTTTATGTGTAATATAGGAAACTGTAGGTTTATTTTTCTGTTAAGTTTAGTGCTCATGTAATTTATATAACTATTTGTTCCTCGATTTAATAATAAAAAATGTTTAAGCATTCTAATCCAGTTTAAACATGGAAATTATTTATAGCATCATCGCCATGGGCAATAACTAATATTTTCTTATTCACCGGAAAGAATTCAATTCGAAGCGTATTCATTAAAAGCAAGTTTTGAAATTTTCTTACCGTATTCAATGTTTGCTTCACTTTTGTTTTGTGATTCAATCCTTAATTCATCGCGTTTTTTTCTAATGACCTTGAATTATAATGAAAATTGAATAAAGTCAATGATGAAATTTCAATTCACATGGATGAGTATATTTCAAATACATCCTTAATAAGATTATATAATTTAAAAGAGACGAACTATTAGTTTACAAATATACTTTGAATTTTATAATCTTAACAAAAATCAATTTGATGTTATCTATAAACAATGCTTAGTGTCGGATAAAATTTATCCAAAATTTTAGCACTTAGTATTTGTCAAAATTCTCATTAATAAACAGAGATTACACCTTCTAGTGGTACTCCCGTATCGACCAGCTATTAATATTAGTCTCTGTTTAGTAATGTAAATTTTAATTACCTATAATACTAAGTACAAATTAGCGTAAATTTACTCTGATACCAAGTAATTTAGCTTAGTAAAGCTTGTTTATTGGTAACATTGACTAAGTAAGGACAATTAAAAATACAATATTTTTGTACCTCATCAGTGAAGTCGTGCATTTGCTTCAAACAAGATTGGTGCTCTGTATATTGTGGAAAGAACTTGTACATCCAATCAGGTTGAAGCCATGGATGGAATATTCTTTGGCATGACAAATGTAGTGCCCGAGTCATTGATATCAAGAACGGGGATTTAGGGTTATTTTGTGCCTGTACCGTTACTCCCAATACCGTTTCTATGAAAAAAAAATTATTCGGTAAGACTAGTTAAAAATACACAAATAATAAATAAAAAAGAAAAATAATAATTAAAGGCGTTTATTTCATGTCTTGTCTTAGAAATTTTTAAATGAATTTTTCGCACGATCGCTATATTTCTCGTCTTAGTAAATGGCGTTCCTGAGCGATAGAATAGAATAGGACGACGGAAAATGGCTATACCGTACTACCAGATGTAATTCAACCCTAAAGAGTTCTCACGCCTAATTGTAGATGAATATATTTTCATTTTTTTTTAAATAGTAAATTAAGAGTGTTTTAATTTATGAATCTTAAAATCGACCGTCTGTACCTATATCTTGGACTTCTTTATACAAAATTCATCACTCTTAAAATCGATATTCAGTATATCGTGGACTGTTTCTTTGTTCTACTCTCCTTATGGTATTTTTAAGGCGACGAGTGGAACGGAGCACTATGAAGTTCGCGATATATCGAGTTCTTGAGTTTAGTAATACGGCATCTGGTTTACTACACTGATAACACTGATATTAATAGGAGGTAATGTTTCTAACTTTGTTTGTTTGTAGAGGGTAATCTTCGGAAATACTGAGGGGATCATGATTTTTTTTTTCACATAGTGAAAGTTACTTCATTCTACAGTGAGTACAGGCTTTTATGCGGGCAAAGTCGCGGCTAGGAATAAGTAGGTACTCACGTGAAACTGCATCCAGTGTATAAGTGCTAATAAATGGCCAAATGCTGAAATTGCCCTGTTTAGTTTGCTCATTGAGTCTCTTTGACATCATCTCTGTCTGTTCTGCGAATATATCTACGAAGCTCTCAATAATTTTCGGACTGAAGGCAGGCACCAATATTTTCCTACGTCTCCTCCAAATGCTTACTGGGGACAATAATACATTTTATTATTTTATTGTTAACGTCAATGACTGGCCGTTTGTAGTACATAATAGTATATTTGAGGCTCGCTCTTAACTCCGGTCCTTTGATGGTGATAGCTGATTTGCGCGCTAACTGGGCATGGCGCGTCCTGGGGTATGAGTCAAATGTTCCTGAATCGTACCCCCAATCCACAGAGGGACCCACCATGCAAGAAATGGACTGAAATAGGCGTGAACGGCGAGGGAAGGAAATCCCTCGAAATCCCCGCATATAGTTTTCAAGAAAGACATCGTTAAGTTTTAGCCCCTGATTTTTTACTAGTTCTCTTTATGAGAGCGGATCCGCAGAGGAGACCCCAAATAACCCGGCCACCCTGCACTGGAAGAAGGGGTATGCAGTAATGCATTTTCTAGCGATAAAATAAATCTCATTCTTAATAGAATTGTTGCGTGAGACATTATCTGAATGCTAAACGATCTTAATCGATGTCAAACTTTGACCCCTTATTAATTAAACTAGCAAATGAGCTAATGAACCTTGTAATAATTTAAGAAATCAATGAATATTCCGTTTAGTTGCAAGACTCCTTTCTCCGTTTGCCATGACCGCATGTACTGCGATACCCGAAACTAAAAAAAGGGTTTGATGTCTACATACGATAAGTCGATGTGTCGAAATATCCAAATTGAAATAAGCGCTGTCTTTAACCTTCTATTTTCAAAATGTTAATAAGACTTCAAATAACGTATTATTCGATAATTTACGATGCAACGAAGGTTGGATCTGACACTGCCTCTGGTGCACAGATAAAGTTCAAAGGATAAAAGAAGTTTTCTGACTTTTCGTTTGAGGACACAGGTCCTCAAGTATTATGTTAATTCGTACAAATTATAAGTTTAGTTTGATCGTACGTTGCAGAACGAAAAATATAACACTAAACGATATTTACCTGGAGCGAAGATGCCACCGTTGCCAAAGATATCTTTCACGAATCTGTGCATATCATCTTTCTCCATACATGTTTTCAACGCCATTTCAATATCAACTGGGTCTACAATCACTGTTAACAAAAATAATAGTGAGATGATGAATTATGTGTCTATGAACAACAATCTATACTTAATTTTATAACGAGGTAGCTTTTGATTGTTTCTTTGCATTGAATAGGCTCCAGAACTATGGGACCGATTTTAAAAATTCTTTCACCTACAGGTGGAGTTACATCATACGGGGTCGACATAAGCTATAATTTACGCGTGCGAAGTTGCGGGAAAATAGATATCGATTTATAATTTTAGTTTTATGGGTAAAAGTCATTATTTACATAAGCGTCATCAGTGACGCTATTGTAAAAAGACAAATCTTGAATGAAACAAATTTTTTACATAGTAATTTTGACATTATAAATATATGAAATACTCACAGAAATATAGTAAGTGATAAAACCATCCTTTGACAATGCCCTGACGTTCCATTGCTTCGTAACTATAATCCTTAAGCTTGTTCATTATATCTGAAAAAACAACTTAAATGTGTCTGATGTTTTTTTTCCAATCACTAACACTCGTACTCTATAGTCGAGAGAAGTAATAACTTGAGAAAATGTCATAATTTAAGCAGATATTTTTACCAAATGAAGAAGAACTTTAAAGAAGTAAAAGCTGAAGGCCTTCTCTGTTTCTACGAGAACTAAATTCTTTTCGAAACGCTTATATGACTAGAAAAAACATTGATCGATCATTTGATGATGCAACGGTTATAGGACATGGCACTTTTTCTGATCCACAGAAAATCTTCACAGATATGATTGAACAAAATTGTAAGAATGATTCGAAGTTTGGTTATTAACAATTGTTACTTTATTCAAAGAATAGTTATGACATTTTACTTGTCTCGACTATAGATAGATACAAATGTAAGACTATTTTCTCCTTAAACAAAGATACGATAGTCAGAAGATATTAGGGGTTAAAGTATGAAATTGCCGTTTTATTGTAATAGGTTCCTTTTATTGACATAGAATCTTCATGGTTTGAGGTTTTCGAAAGAAACTTTTTTCACATGGTGTCTATGATGTTTTTCTTTTCAAAAATGTGAAATTTTTGAATATCGATTTAAATTTTTTTTATTAATAAACTTCGACAACATTCGAGTGATTTTTGAATACGAGTTGTGACGCGAAAGTAACGCGGCAGAAACAGCCCACAATATCAATGTTGCCCTTAGAGGGGGTCTGTTAATGAACGCACCGTGCGATTTTGGTTTAAATGCTTTCGTGATGGAAACTTCGACTTGAAGAACGAGCCACGATGAAGACCGCCCACACAGGTGGATAACGATGAATTAAGAGAGACGGTGGAAGCCGATCCTAGTCAAACTACTCACGAATTAGCAGCATGGTTTAACGTTGCGTTACCCATAATATTGACCCATTTGCGTAAAATCAATAAAATAAAAAAAATACGAAAATGGCTGCCTCATGATTTGTCTGATCTGCACAAAGAAACGCGTGTTGAAACTTGTGTGGCCTCATTGAATCCGTACAGAAATTAAGGAATAGTGTATCGAATTGTGACATGTGAAGAGAAGTGGATTATTTATAATAACTGTAAAAGAAAAATGCAATGGCTGACCCCAGGTCAAACGCCACAACAGTGTCCTAAAGCAAAACTTTCTAATAAAAAGGTAATGGTAACTGTTTGGTGGTCTCAGCATGGTGTTATTCACTATAGTTTTCTCCGATCTGGTCAAGCAATAACGGCAGATGTCTATTGTGCCGAACTCCGAAAAATGTTGGCAAAACTAGCAGTAAAACAGCCCCGACTCATGAATCGATCTACACCATTATTGCTCCACGACAACGCGAGACCCCATACAGCACGAGAAACCGTTTGACCCTTCAGGAATTGCAGTGAGAAACCAATTGTCATCCTCCGTATTCGATAGACCTTCCTCCAACGGACTACAATTTTTTTCGTGATTTGGACAATTATCTACGTGTCAAGAAGTTTTCTTCCTAGGAGGCAGTACAAAATGCTTTCACACAGTTTGTGCTGCCGAGATCCTCAGAGTTCTATCGCAAAGGCATAAATGACCTTCCTATTAGATGGTAGCAATGTACAGATAATAATGGTAACTATTTTGATTAAATAAATTTGTTAAACATTAAAAAAATAAACAATTTTGATTTTCAGTACAAAACGGCAATTTCATACTTTAACCCGTAATATTTGTCGCACCACGTAAAGTGACAGTGTCAGGGTGGATCATTATAGAAACTTAAAAAAAAGTAACAATGAAACATAATTTAAATTAAGTTATATTGGCAAGTAAAATAGAATTGAGCTATTAAGATCGGTCAAAGGGGAAAATCAATTTAAGAAGTTGGACTCAAGGAGTTTATATATTAAAATAAAGTTATTTAATATATTAGCGATACGATTGTTAAGCAACTTTCGCAATGACCGGTCGTAGGATGGGTGACCAAAAATGTATCATCCCGAACTCCTCCGTCCCGACTGCATGTGCTGTCAAAACCTACCAATCCGCACTGGGCCCGTGTAATTGGTTATAGCCCATTCTCCCTATTCGATTCCAATGGATGGGGAAGGCCTGAGTCCAGCACTGGGGTCATTAATAGGCTGCTTATGGTAGTGTAGTTAAATATCGGGTTGGCACAAAAGTAATGAGACACTTGGTTTAAGTTTTTACTTTTTTATTATTATTACAATAAAAAAAGTTTAGTCAATGATGTAATTACCATTAGTATCTAAGACTTCTTGCCAACGATCCGGCAAAGTTTGGATGCCTTTTGCCCAGAACTCTGATGGCTGTGCCTCGAAAAAGTTGTTCAACTCCGCCTCTACGTCAGAGAAATCATTAAATTTTTTACCCCGCAAATGCTGTTTCAGGGCTCTAAACAAATGATAGTCTGGGTCGAGGTCGAGGTCTGGGGAATAAGGTGGGTGGGGTATCGTCTCTCAGCCCAAGTTCTCCAACTGCCGGCGAACCACAGATGCGACGTAAGGTCGAGCGTTATCGTGCAGTAAAACTACATTGACTCGTCTTCGGCGTTTTTTATTTCTGGGTTGAATATTTGTCAACGTTTATAGTTTCATTGTGTAATAACTCATAAAACAGTATGCCTTGCGCATCCCAGAAACAGCAAAGCAGAATTTTTCGGCGGTTCTTTTGACTCGGCTTCAGTTGAGTTGGTGGCGTTTCTTCTCGAGGCAGCCAAAAAGCACGACGTTCTCGTACTAAATCCATGATTCATCTGCAATAACCAGATCTGACAAAAACTCTTAACGTCGGGGTCGCAGCAAAAGTGACTGACAGATAGCGACACGGACTGCACGACTGGCGTCTGTAAGGATGTGCGGTACCCACCGAGCCAAAACTTTTCGATAACCAAGCTCATGCAGATGGTGTTCCACGGCGTGGTGACTGCATTTAAGTGCTTCCGCTAATTCACGAGTGGTAGCATCCGGATTCAACTGCAGTTCGCGGCGCAAATCGTCATCATTCACTGCGGGTGGTCGCCCTGAGCGTGGCTGACTTTCAAGGCTCCTGTCTCCAGATTTAAAACGGTCAAACCATCGGGACACCGTCGCATGGCTTGTACTTCCAGCGCCTAATGCATTGTTTATATTGTCAGCCGCAGCCCGCGCACTGTGGCCTAACAAGTACTCGTATAAGTATAGTGTTCGAACTTGTCGCTCGTCCATTTTTCTTCAAACTGACTAAACAAATCGCGAGCGCGGCTTTATATACCCTACACCAGAAGTACCTAGAATGTTCTACAACATTCTAGAATATTATCGAAAAAATTGATTTTAAAAAGGAAATGTTATAGATTTTTCTAGTGTGTCTCATTACTTTTGTGCCAACCCAATAGTAGCAGATATTAATATACAGGGAGCAACAAAATGACCGACACAGCCGAAACTTTCAAGTTAGGTTATATGCAAACGTTTATTTTATTTAACAAATATTTCAAAATAGAGGAGGTGTAAAAATGAAGTAAAAATTTTAAATTTCTAAGTGTTGAGAGCCCTATAACGCGCATGCGCAATTTTGATTGTGCGCAGATAACAACGGACCGCGAAATACATTAATTCAAATTAATTATTTACTGATATCTTAATGTTAGTCGATGCAGAAAATATCCAATTCTTCTCTGAAGACAGCTAAGCACGTTCTTTTGCATGCCAGTGCATGCACGCGCAAAACACATAACATTTCACACAAAACTAAACACAATCTTCACTAAACTAAACTTAACACTCAAGACTGTAGTATCTTATTAACAAAAATTGAATTAAAAATGCACTAGAACAAAACAAAAATCGTCAAAGAATCGCTTCGCAGCGGTACGGTGGCAGTGATGCAGTAACATGCCTTACGCGCAAATGTCCGGCGGTGACTGAAACAAAAGCGCCGACGCCGATGGAACAAACAACCCGCGCGCACGGTGAGTGAATGGAGTGAAGGAGACCGGTTCGATTTGTCCTTGATAACAAGGGACGAATTCAGTTTATCTATTTTTCGAATTCGTATTTTGTTACCACGCAATTGGTTATTGAATTTTCTTTTTAAATACATTTTAAATAAGTAACCAAACCCTTACTTAGTGTTATTATGTTAATGGATGATGAATTAGTTTAACTACTTTAATAAATGATCGTGTTATTTGATCTATTTAGTAACATTTTTTGGAATCTCTGACTATTTGAAATAATGTAGTAACGTAATGTAAATTAGTTAATTTTTACAATGATTTATTAAATGTTAATCTATTAATTAATTTCAGCATTTTGACTGATTCGTTTAGTGATAGTCAGTTTGAAATTGTTAAAAAACAGTTAACTAACATTACTTAGTTTTCATTTGCGATTTTAGTTTTTTGATGATCACTTGATAGCAGTTTGATAGAACTAGATTTGACTTGTGAAATTAAAAAAAAAACGTAGGTTATTGAGAATAATCAGTAGAGATTTTCTACTTTTTTCAAATCAGAAACCGGCTGTTAGTCTGTTAAACGATTTAAGCATTTTGATTGCCTTGTTTAGTGATTGTCTGGTAGAATTTGCATGAAAGCGGTCTCATAAATCATAAACTAGTTTATATCGTTTTTAGAAATGAAGAAGTCAATGACCGATTAAAAACTTGTTCCTTAGTACATCCCAAAAACAGCTGACTCAGGGTTGAAAACACTCATTTTTTTCCAATAACTTTGTAATTGAATATCTCCGAAACTATTTGACCTAGATATATAATTTTTTTTACGTCATATTAAAGACAAATAGTACTTTCCAGGGACCTCGGGAGTGTCAGTCGTTCTGTTCCACCAAGTATACATAGTTTAAAATGTAAACGAAATGCATAAAGTTTGCATTACCTAACGTGAGGCATGTTAATACACTTATAAATGTAAATTAAGCTTTATAAATAGTGAAAAAGTTGAGTTGGTGGAATCGACAAAGTTCCTTGTTATTACACTAGATTCCCAACTGTAATGGGATTCTCATATTGATAATTTGTCAAGTAGACTGAGTTCTGCAGCATTTGCTGTAGAGAAAATAAGAGTTAAAACGAAAAGATTGGTATATTTTAGTTATTTTTATAGTGTAATAACGTATGGTCTATTGTTGTGGGGTTCTGCGGCTAGCATTCAAGATATTTTTATTCGACAAAAGAGAGCGGTCCGCGCTATATATAATTTACGATCTAGAGAATCTCTTAGAGAAATATTTAAAGAAATAAATATTTGGACTATTGCCTCTCAATACATCTATGCAAATATTATGTATGCAAGAAAATATTACGATTCTTCACAAAAAAAAGTAGTGTCCATAATCTTACCACAAGAAATAAAAATAAACTTGCCGTTTCAAGCTTCAGACTTCAGAAAACCAGGGTATCATTTCTAGGTAAATGCATTGCTATGTTCAATAAAGTTCCACAAAATGTAGTTGACCTACCCATAAATAAATTTAAAATTCATGTAATGAACATACTTATGAGTAAAGGCTATTATAAAGTTGATGATTATTTTAAGGATCGCAATGCATGGAATTAATAGCCTTCGCTTTGTTCTATAAAGACTAATTATATGCTCAACCTATGTCCTACAGACTTTGAAAGTTGTATTTATTATTGTGATAATACATATTATTTTGGTAATGACATGATTTATGTAAATGTCATTACTAATGATAAAAAGCTGGTAAGTTTCTTTCGCTTGTTCTTCTTGTCAGCTAAAAGACGTCCTGAACAAGTGGTAGAGGAAAAAAATGTTTTTGGACGATTCAAATTGCTTGTAATAGCCTACTTGAATAAAGATATTTTCATTTCATTTCATTTAGCCTTAAGGCCTTCTTAACACATTACCCTCCGCAGCTCACTTGATCTCATACGTACATTTTTAAGCACAGAAAAAAATGCAGTTATAATAAGTTTTTTGTATATTTATTTTATATCAAAACCTGTTGTTGTATATATATATATTATATATAAAGCTCCTTTTTTATTATAATCGTAAAATGGATCCAAAAACCTATTTAGAATCATCTTTGCGATTTTTTTCTATCGAGCCAATATTGAAATTAATTTTTGTTTAAAAAGTGAAAAGTATTTATTTCCAACGAGTATAATCTCACCTTTTATACTCAGATTTATAATCAGTGCAATAATTTTGTAGTCGGTTAATCATTGTCACGTTCTTTCTCTCTCTTTTTTAACCTACTAACATCGGGACAGCCGAGGACAGCAAAAGCCGGGACAGCAAAAGATGTTTTAAACAAGTCACTATCATACTATTTATATATGTTGCTACTTATGATATCTCTATTGTAGCCGGGGATTTATGAATCATGACCGATCATAATTCAACATTACCATTTCTTAATACTACATATTAAATAAATACATAAATGCGAAAATATTAAAACCTTCGTAAATATTGTGTACTAGCTGTGCCCGAGACTTCGTCAGCGTGGGAAAGTACGTCAGGAGAATTGGTTCTTTCCTATGGTTGGGATCGAACCGAATAGGATCAATGGTCCATAACACACGACGCGGGCCCAATGTGAATTGGTGGGTGTTAACGATTACTGATGTAATTGGGACCAATGGCTTAACTTGCATTCCGAATCCATCGTAAACCGAACGCGCTAACTTCGAATCTTAAAAAGAGGGAAAATTTAATTGTTATTTGCATCGAATGGGTTCCGAAACTATTTAGAAAAAAAATCACCTATGGGAAGCAATGTCATACTCGAGTGGGACAGGTTATAATTTATGCGACTAGTTAACAGTTAATTATAAGTATAGGTTGTGGGGTACAGGCAGGTTGAAGGCAACACCGATTGGTGATAATCGAAACTACTTTTCCGCTCTCTATAGTACAAAGTCCGAGCTCTTTAAGAACTCGACCGCATTTCTCAATCAAAGAAAGTTTCAGATTCAAACGACACAGCATATGGGTTTTCTGGAATCAAACGCTTGCTGTATGAGTTCTCTGAGAACTCAAGATATTTTTCCTAACAATGAATACTCCAGATTCAACTTGATAGTGCATGAGCGTCGCGATGGGCATTTCAATACGCTTCGTAGCCGTCAAGTATCTCCTGTGACTGAGCGCTTCCTGTCCGAACACGCTAAGAGCTCAAGTGACTTTCTTTGTCAATAAAAGTTTTAGGGTCAACAGGCATGCCCCCACTAACTTTCGTCAAACATGAGCATCTTATTTGTCAGAGAACTAAAAATATAATTAATATTAAATTCGACCTTGCACACTCGACGGAAATCGTGTACTAACATATTTTTCCGTGAGGTGCTTGACTAAGCTCCATCTATTTTGCACCAAACCTCAGACTCCTGTAATACTGCATGAGCCTCATGACTGGTGAAGAAACCTGTATCTCAAAATGAAGACTGCAAATACCAATAAAATAAAAAAAACAAAAAGTGTAACATAAGACTCTTATTATGTTATTAAGTGGAAAAAAATTAGATAGAACTTGAGTTGTATTCACTCATTCGAGAACGGTGTAAACCCAGTTTAGATTCATGCTGAGCCAAAATTTCTATAGAGCGTAACCTGGCCTAAAAATTTTCTAAGTCCTGCTGCAGGATCGTTCTAAGAATCTGATCCTTTTAGCAATTTTGCAGGTTTAATCTTTTTTCAAGTCATTCTTATAATTTATATCTGCTGAGACTTAACTTTTTTTTACATCGAGGAAATGCTTCTGGCTGGTCCATTATAAGCTTCAGCTTATAATATCTATATATGATCAATAATATTTAATAGTGTTCACGCTATTTAATATGATTGATCATATATAATTGGAATCAACTTACATTGCAGTATCCAAATTGATATAACTTTTTTATTTATGAACCGATTGAATTAAAAACTTACACTAAATGTTAATGGAAGGATACCAAAATACAATAGTGAAAACTGCATTAAAATCATAAGGTTCAGCATTTTCTGAGATTAGCGTACACAAACGCACAGACATACAGACAAAATATTTTTAATAGTTGTTTTGTGCATTGTTAAGTATATATATGCCTTTCATAACAGTGTTCATAACAGTTTTTCAATGTACAGATATCGATCGGTTACGTTTTTATTATAGTAGATTTTAGATTTATAAACGGAACTAAATTATTAAAAAATATTATAACTTTTTGCGAGCTAATCCTATAGAATATTTTTGAACTGAATATCTTACACATGATACTCATTACCTGGATGACCGAGCTTTACTCGTATTTTTGGTATAAGTAAAAAAATCCTAACTAGATCGATTTATCTCCCCCGAAACCCTCTGCATACTTATACTAGCTTTTATTATATATGCTAGCTTTCCACCAGCGACTTCATCTGCGTGGTCCTGTACTATACCTATAAACCTTTCTCTTGAATCAGTCTGTTATACAAAAACTACTGGCCATATATAATATTTATAAGCCTGTAAGGCTCCTGTTAACCCACACGATACCTTAGAGAAAACTCAGACGAAGCCCTGGCAGAAAGCTAGTTTATAGTAATTATATATATAACATACCTTCAGTATCCCCTGTAACCGTATAAGCAACTCCAACAATGGGCATATCTTTTTTCGCTGATGGTATCTTTGAAGCCAATTTGTAAAGCTGCTGCCTTTTATAACGGAACGCGATTACCCAAAGGGTAAAAGCAATGCAGCACAGGGTTAAAATCATCTTGAATTCTAAATAATCGAATACTCTTAAACTGGCACAAAACACTGAGCGAAATAATTAAAAAGTCTTTAAATAAGTCTCTATGTGTTTCAAAAAAATTCTATAACGAAAATATTTTTCATCGTAGCAATATTAACCTTGACCATGTTTAACCGACTGTGGTCAACGCGCGTATCAGCCTAATAATGAAATTCCTCCGTTATATATATTATCCACGTGGCAACGACCAGAATAGAAAATAGTCTGTAATAAAATCAGCGTCGAGCGCAACGCTGTCACAGTGTAGGTAATTGTTCAATAAAATGAAACCTATTACACAGGGTTATAAAAGGTTCATGTATCGAATCTCTATAGCTTTTTAACATTGGTTTAATTCTCTATCACCCGGTTTCTAATGTGAAAATTTAAAGTTAGTCTTGTCTCAAACTGTACTTAAACGTTCTTAAAAAGGATTTCGTTTATGATTTTATTGTTTTAATGATCAGTTGAAAGCAGTTTCATAAAACTACAACTTTTTGCTCTATGAAATGTAAAAAACCGAAGTTATTGAGTATAATCAGTGGAGATTTTGTTATTTCTCTATTCAGCAACCGGCCGTGAGTGTGTAATGATATTTTTAATTGCAAAGCTGCTAATGGACTAACTCCAAACTAGTTCCATTATGTAACGTGTCTTTATGTCATCAAATAAAGTCCAAATAAGACGTAATTAAAATTAAGAAAACTATATAATTATTATGTCTAAAACAACTGATTAGGTGATGTGTGTTTATAAAACTTTCTTTGTAAAAAATATCTCTTCGTTCCTTTCATAAATAAAAGAAAAACTTGTATTAGATGAGTCATTTAGAGTAATAAATTGTAAATGGTTTGCCTAATTCAGAGGCTATCACTATGAAAATAACTTTTAACTTTAATTAGCTTTTTTTATCAAGTTATCCCATCTCTTATTTACGAATGCTACGCAGCCGAGGTGCGATATTGAGTTATACAATAATCAATAATACATAATTTTGACGCTCTTTTCCATTATTGCACTCGTTTCAAGATAATGTAGGGGATACATTGGTAATTTTGCGTATGTAGCAATAAAGGACACTGTCGCCGTCTCGCCATTCACGGGTTGGTACGGTAGGGCACTAGTAGAGCGGTCGCGTACTATTCTTTGTAATGAGTCAAAATTAATAATTAATATTTTTTTAAACAAATAACAGTTTTGGCATCACAGAAGTTTTCCTTAATATATATACCACCACCCGTGATTGAACAATAACAAACCTTCACATAGATTTTATTAATTTGAACTGTTTGTTAAATTGCTGGTTTAAGCTCTAAATGGTCCTTCAAAATGGTCCATAAATTATAATACTAAATTTTAAAAGATTATTATAGTCGATCAGTTTTTAATTCACAATATTATACCTATATCTTTAATGAAAAATAATAAGAAATCACCTTTCACAATCTTATCATTGAGCTACCCTAACTCCGCTCAAACTGGACTTGGTAATAACATTCCGTGGCACAAGAGAAGTGTTTTCGAAATGACTTAGGAATAGAATATCTGAGAGACGTAGAATCGATCAGTCTTGTATTGTATTTTATAATAATGACCTGAATGCGGATACGTGAGTGAATTCGAATTCGGGTTTGGATTTTTACAGACTCGCTCTGTTGATCACATTAAATGGTTGGTTTTAGCAGTCACCCGGATTGGTTATGGGTTTGAATCCCATCTCGGACGCCTGCACGTGTAGCATGATGAACTCAAGAACAACAGGTGATTGTAAAATCTACCTTCAAACCATTAAAATTTAAAATCCGATGCAGAAATTTAGCAGATTTGTATGACTTAAAGCAAACTATATACTAACCTATAATTGATAAAAGATTCTTAAGATTCATGAATCTTAAAAATGCGAATATGTTTTTGTGAACGTACGAGGGTCAAACTGAAAGTTCTTAGAACTGGCCACTTGTAAACAATATAATAAAAAAATAATTCTAGAATTTGAAAATATAACTCTTTGCCAATATTACTGAGTATATATTTCATTCATTTGTCATTTGTTTTACGATTTGGCGGCAAATTGAAAATTGTCTGTGTCACGTCATCATAAATTTAACACGAGAAAATTTTCGTGCAATGATTTTTTATGACTTTCGATGTCATTTAAGTCAACAAGAAAGTTATGATAGACTACGATTGGCCTTTCACGATGAAGCCCCATCTCGTGCGACTGTTTACAACTGGTTTAATGAGTTTAAACGTGGTCGCACTAATCTCACTGATGATTTACGTGAGGGACGGCCTTCTACGGCGACGACTGAAGATAACGTCTGTGTTGTGCGGCGTATGATAGAGACTGACAAAAGAGTGACCTATCAACAGATTCGGACAAGCTTAGGCATCGGTATGAGTCAAGTGCACAAAATCCTCCACGAACATTTAGCGGTCAGGAAGCTTTGCGCCCGGTGGATACCTCATAATTTGACTGAGGCTCAAAAACTCCATCGTGTGGATTGGTGTCGTAAAATGATTGAAAGATTTAACGGAGGTGACTCAAATGCTGTGTTCGACATACTAACAGGTGACGAAAGCTGGATTTACTGTTATGATCCTAAAACCAAAAGACAATCTGCTCAGTGGGTGTTTCCTTGCGAGGAGTTGCCAACTAAAGTGAAGAGAGATCGAAGTGCGGGAAAAAAAATGGTGGCCTCGTTCTTTGGAAGGATAGGTCATTTTGCAACAATTGTGTTAGAGGATCAAAAAACAGTTTCTGCAGAATGGTACACTACCAATTGTTTGCCACTTGTCTTGGAAAAAGTTCGAGAGAAACGACCTCGCAGTAGGATCCTCCTTCACCACGACAACGCCTCGTCGCACACCGCCAAGCGAACGATCGACTATTTGGCGACATCAAACGTTGAATTACTGGGTCACCCGCCGTATAGCCCCGACCTCGCGCCTTGTGATTTTTATTTATTTCCAAAAATTAAAGAAAAACTTAAAGGAAAGCGGTTTATGAATGCTGAAGAAGCGGTGGCTGCGTATCGCGATGCCATTGAAGAGACCCCTAAGGACGAGTGGGCAAAGTGCTTTTCCCAGTGGTTCCATCGCATGCAGCGGTGTATTGACGTGAATGGACAATATTTTGAAAAGATATAATAAAACTAATAACTGGCTAATGTAATCAGTTTTTGATTTTCTAAGAACTTTCAGTTTGACCCTCGTAAGATTATAAATGAAATATAATAAATTTTGTCTTGCCTACGCCATATCAAATATTTCTAGTTTTTTCTTAGATAATCAAAACGAATTAGATATTTTTCTTGTTAAAAAACACATATAATTAATATTCATTCGTAAACTCCGTCAATGTTTCGTTCTGTCCATCTGATGACGACAGCGTTAAGATAGATACTATATAACTATTAGGGCGTATGTGCACTACACTGAATTTTCAGGTCCGGCAGTTCGATTTTTTCTTGTCCGATATATCAGGCCATATGTAACATCTGTATATCCATATATAACACTGCATATGCCTTTGCAAACTCGATATAGTTCTAATGGGATCATTGTATGATTCTAGTATCGATACTTCGCTAGAATCGTATTAAAAATATCGATCCCAAAACAATATCGAATCAAAAGCATCGATGACTTAAGGTAAGACAAATAAGTTTTGTTAAGCTTCCACGCCTAAACAACTGAACCCATCTTAAAGAAATTTGATACAGAAATAGACTTAACCTTGAGAAAGAGCTTCCTTTTATCGCGAATAATAAGTGGAAATAGAGGATGAGAGTTTGCATGGAAATTGGTCACTAACAAAATTTGTTTTCAGTATAAATAAATATTTGATAACAGAAGTATTCTAGAAGGAAAGAATTTAGCTTAAAAATACTATACCACGCGTATAAAATTACAATAGGATGACTGATTTAAATGCTACCGTTAAATAATTCATCTAGCAAATTAATTCTCCGTTTACACGGTACTAATTTCGCTTTGTTTACAAAATGGCGTCAGCGATTAGTCTGTCTGTAATCGCTTGAAGTTGTTAAACTTCAAAGAAAAATTTCACGATTATAAATTTAAAAATCAAGTAGGAGAATATTAATTAGAGATTTTATTCAAATGTCACATATATTTTTAGCTATTATATATGAATAATGCTGTTCCTAAATAAGTAAGGGTATAAGTTTTTACATCCGATAGTAGTGACACTGTCACTTATAAGGGGAGGTACCTTTCACTTATAAGGGGATACAACCAATATTTTTCTGTCTTCTACGTCTTCGTACGTAGAGTAATAAACCATGTTATTGCCGACATTCCAAAAATTTCATCATACCTAGAGTAAGTGGCGTGTAGCTTCAAAGAGAGCTGTCCTAAACTGCGCCGCTCCAATCCGTAAAAAAACGGACAAGTGCACAAGCTACTCATCTGGGTTTTTCATGTCACTCCAGACTGAAAAAATCTGGAATCTTGATCTTAAATTTCAGTGTAGTTCACAAATGCCCTTATTCTAATACGTTACATTTACCCTGCTACACTCTCGTCGTACCTATTCGATTCAATACTGTTGAGGCTTGCCAACAAGCAAGATGGAACGTGTAATCGGCAGGAGCGTGCACAGAGATTTGGGGTATGTACTTATATTGAAAAAAAAAAGACTTACCGATTTTCACCATAATTTCAGTACCTTCTAATGAGTCCAGGAAGATCATTTATATATATTTTTAGTCACAATGAACATCGATTTGCAACTTATTTATAAATTACCACAAAATTATTTTGTTTTATCGAAATAGTAAGAACTATATAATGCTTTAATTTTAGACATCGTTCACATAAACAGTCTGTACAATTCCTTAGTTTTTATAAATTAAATTAAGTATTCAAAAACGACAGGTATGCTTTTTTTAATACTTAATTCAGCAAAACATCGTCGTAAAAATGTCAAGGTTTTTTTAAAGGTTGGCGACTCACTT